TCATTAACAGAAGTTGGTCAGTCCCAACCACGAATAGCTTCAATCTTCGTCGGATCAACCCTAATACCCTTCTTGGACACCATGTGTACCAAGCATGCTACATACGCAAGCCAAAACTCGTACTTTGAGAACTTGGCATAAAGCCGCTGATCTCTCAAAGTCTGGAGCACTATCCTCAAATGGTGCTCATGCTCACTCCGGCTCCGCGAGTATACCAATATGTCATCAATGAAGATGATAACAAATGAATCAAGGTATGGCCTAAACACACGTGTTATCAAGTCCATAAATGCGGCTGGGTATTAGTCAACCCAAAAGACATCACAAGGAACTCATAATGGTTGTAACGAGTCCTAAATGCGGTCTTAGGGATGTCTGCTGCTCTAATCCTCAGCTGATGGTACCCGGACCTCAAATCAATCTTAGAAAATACGACGGCACCCTAAAGCTGATCAAACAAATCATCTATACGAGGCACAGCTTAAAGGTTCTTCACCGTCACCTTGTTTAGCTGCTTGTAGTCAATGCACATCCTTAATGTCTCATCCTTCTTTTTCACAAAAAGAACAGGAGCACCAAAAGGCGATCCACTCGGACGAATTAACCCCTTTCCTAAGAGGTCCTCTAACAGAACACTGAGCTCTCTAAGCTCTGCCGGAGCCATCCGATAAGGCGAAATAGAAGTAGAACGGTTTCCGGGCTCCAAATATATGGCAAAATCAATGTCACGCTTTGGGGGTAGGCTAGGTAGTTCTGTAGGGAACACATCTGCATACTATCTAACCACATGAACTGAGTCAACTGAAGGGCCCTCCCGACTCACATCTTAGATGTGGGCCAAATAAGCTAAACACCCAGAAGCAACCAACCGCCTAGCTCGAATAAAAGAGATGATCCCCATCGGTGTGTGACTATAAGCACCCTGCCACGACACCGGGGGAACATCAGGCATAGATAAGGTAACAGTCTCGGCATAGCAATCCAAGAGCACATTATACGGGGGATAACCAGTCAATGCCCAAAATCACATCAAAATCAATCATATCTAGCATAATAAGATCATCTCTAGTATCATAACCCAGGATAGTCAGTAAGCAAGATCGCAAACATGATCTACTACTAAGAACTCACCTAGCGGGCCGAAACATGAACTGGCTCTGCCAAAGACTTGGACCTCATACTCAATCGGGGAGCAAAATAAATAAATACATACGAGAATGTGGACCCTGTATCAAATAATATTGTAGCAGGCTGATGGCATAAGAAGAGAATACCTAAGATGACATTGTCAGATGCCTCAGCCGCTGCCCTTGCCGGGGCTGCATAGAAATGGCCCTGAGCACCTCTTCCTGGTGAACTCGGTCTACCACCTGACCTACCTCCCCGAGCTCCACCCTGGTATCCTGTCGACTCTCTCGACGGTCCTGAACCTGACCACTTTCTCTAACCGGAGAAGACACGACTGAAACTGGTCTAAATGTAGGTGGAGCTGGTAGAATCGCCTCCGACCTCTCCGGGGGCATTCTCTAGACCTATGGTCAAGAGCACCATAATCATAATACCCCAAAGCTTAACGCCCTGTAGTAACCTGGCCGCGGCATGAAGGAAAAGAATCTGATCCCCTCAAATCTGGCATGTACTAGGACCACTCTGCTGATATTTGCCTCCCTCAGAAGCAGGTCATGCCGCCTGGTATGACCCTTCTGGAACCTCTTACGGGGCTTATCATATGAGTCCCTCCCCCTAATATGAGACCTGCTATAGCTGCCCTGGTAGCGTGCCCTCTTATCGCTGTCCCCTTGGGATTCACAATGAATATGCTCCTAGGATCAGGCATGATCGACCACATCAAGAAAAGAACGGCCAGCTGAAACCATATGCTATGTGTCAACCCTCAAACGGTATCGCAAATCACATACAAAACAACGAACTATCTCTCCTCTGTGGGCAGGATCATAGTAACATGTTGAGACAGCTCATGGAACCTCACCTCATACTTTGAAACGGTCATAAAGCCCAACTCCAATCTAGAGATCTGATCACTAAGCCTATCTCTGACGCTCTGTGGCATGAATCGGGCCAAGAAAGACTCTGAGAACTCACGCCAACATATAGGAGGAGATCGAACTGGTCTAGACTCTTGATACGTGCGCCACCACTCCTGGATGTCCCACAGAACTGATGAGAGGTAAAGTCAGCTTCTCGCGACTCTAAGAGGCCTAATGAATGTAACTGCTCCTGGCAAGTGAGATGGAACTCGTGAGCGTTCTCCCCAATCGCCCCTGAGAATATAGGTGGTGCCAACCTCTGAAATACCTTGAACATCTTCTTATCCCGCAGTGGCATCTCTCTAACCTCTAAGTCTGGTGGGGCGGCCACATGAACTGGTGGCGGCTGAACTTGCAGCGCTGGGGCTGGTGCTGGTACTACTGCGGCTGATGCCTGTCTCCTATCCCCAATAGCTGCTAGTATCTGAGTCAAGAGGGAATGAAGATCATTTGCTGCAACTGGTGCGGGTGGTGGCTGGGCTGGCCCCGACCCCACTAGCTATGGTGGTACATATGCTGCATGAAGATCCTCCTCCCTATCCCGGGCCTGTGTTGCGGCCTTACCTCGACCTCGAGGTTGATGTCTACCCCAAGCTGGTGCTCCGGGTGCATATCCCCCGAACGCACCACCTCGCGTGCAAGACATACCCTAATAGAGTGAAACAACTGAGGTTTTAATAAACAAACAAGACACACCCGACACAAATTTGAAACAAAATACATATCTTCCTAAACACATCCTGTAGCCTCACGAATATGACTGATGGCCAGTCAGAGAGCACTATTTAGGCATAGGACATGCTACGGGCTTATGTTTTGGAGTTTCGTGGTCATTGGGACCAGTCTTGCCTTTGGCGGAGTTTGCGTATAACAACAACTACCATTCTAGCATTCAAATGGCCCCGTTTGAGGCCTTCTATGGTAGGCATTGTCGCTCTCCAGTGGGCTGGTTAGAGTGTACAAATCCTAGGCCATGAGGTACAGATTTAATTCAGGAGGCTTTGTAGCAGGTGAGAGTGATTCAGGATAGAATCAGGACAGCTCAGAGTAGGCACCAGAGTTATGCGAATCGAAGGCGTCGACCTTTGAGATTCTCTGTTGGTGATCGGGTATTCCTCTCTGTGTCGACCATAAAGGGTGTGATGAGATTTGGGAGGCGGGGTAAGCTTAGCCCCATGTACATTGGGCCTTTTGAGATACTTCAGACAGTTGGGAAGGTTGATTATGAGTTGGCCCTACCTCCAGCATTTTCAGTCATCCACCCAATTTTCCATGTCTCGATGCTACACTGATATATTCCTGATGAGTTCCATGTTCTCCAGTATGATGCAGTTGATTTGGATGATCGTTTGACAATTGTAGAAGAGTTAGTTGCCATCCTAGCCAGAGATGTGAGGGAATTGCGCTCAAGAGTCATTCCTATTTTTAAGGTCCGTTGGAGGCATCGTTTAGTCAAGGAGGCTACCTGGGAGACCGAGCAGGAGATGCAAGAGCAGTTTCTCGGCTTGTTTGAGCCTTCAGGTACTTCTTGAAGCTTACTTTTCGCGGACGAAAGTCCTTTTTAGTAGTGGATATTGTAATGACCCTTCTTGTCATTTTTAGTGTTTTATCTTCTATGCATCGTTTAGAGCGTTCCTACAGCAATCCCAAGTTATTTATGACTTGCTGGGACTGACAGATCGATCACATGGTTTTTCGTTTGATTATTGTGTGAGCTTTAGTATTTTTGGAGCTTATGAACCTTGAAAGATTATTTTCGATCAAAAGTTCAAGAAGATGACATCGGAATCCAATTCTGACGATTCCATTAGTTCCGGAAGGGTCATTTTAGGCTAGTAGCATTATTGACATGACTCCCATAGTTTTTAGTGTGAGTTGGTGTGATTAGGCATTTTAACTTGAAGTTAAAGGCTAAGTTTAACTTTAGATAACATTCTGAGTCAACGCGCTCGGATGAGATTCCGTCAGCGCGGTCAACTCCAAAATGTCAAGTTTGGTCTAGTTTGACCCTTCTTTCTTGTTCTGAGGTTTTTGATATTTTTCCGAGCCCTTTTGTGATTTTTGACTTAAAATGGCCCATGGAAGTGGGACCCACATTTTATCGAGATGACCTGTGATGGAAATTTTGACTACGCCATTGAGTCCAGAATGTCGACTTTGGTAGGGTAGCATATCTATTTTATTTTTATCAGGTTCCGAACGAATTCCGAGCACTCGTCGAAGACTTTGTAGAAATTAGACAAAGCTGAAATCTGGTGCAGCCCTTTAACGACTAGAATTTGGAATTTTAACAACCAGATTTCTCGTTTTATTAGCGACCAACTTCGTCCTTATAAAAGCCCAATTTTCAGCCTTTATGTTTTACTTTAAAATTTTGATATATTGAGATATAGAACTCCAAATTGGGCAATTCAAAAGGCTAAGTTGTGAGATTTTTCAAGGGCAACGTATTGGTGAGCTTGGAATTTGATTTGGGACCTGATTTGAGGTAGATTTTGTGTTTTAACTTCTGTCATAGCTCATTTTCGATCTCTACTTTTGGAAAACTTTTAGAAGGTGATTTCTTGGCCATTTTAGGTCCTAATCTAGTGATTCAAGAGCCTATATTGTGGGGTTTTTCATGAGAATTGTCGTGGTATGATTGGTTTTGCCAGTTGGACCTTCATTTTTGATAAATTCTTGTAAATAGCTGCTGCCCTTGTTGCTGATTTTGGCGTAGAATTTGGGTTTTTGGTTGCATGTTCATGTTGGGACTGTCTTGAGTCCCGAATTGTGTTCCATTTTGAAACACAAGTTCCAAGAGTTTTTTAGGACCTTTATTTGGTGTTAATTTTGTATTTCTCAACGTGGATTCCACTTTTTCCGTTTTTACCGCGAAATTGACCTGTCTTCGTTTCATGCGATTTTAGTGTTTAAATGACCGTAATAACGTTGTGAGTCTATTTTTATAGTGTATCAATGTTTTGAGGCCTTTCAGAAAGGAAAAGCTCCGTGGTAGTGATTTTCAGAGCGCGCGTGATCTGCCTTCAGGTAGGCTACAGTTTTCCTTCTTAGATTGAACTCGAACATGTGAATGCATGTTGATTAGTTGGGATTTGGATTGGGTAGTTATTTTATCATGCATAGGTGTTAAAAATCATATTTTTGGCCTTTTTCTGAGAATTATCAGGTAACTGTGAGCATGATTATTGTTATTAATTGACCTTTTTTGCTATATGGATTACTTGTATGTTTGGATACTGGTTATCAAAAGTATGTTGGGCCTTAGTGTAGGTTTTACTAGGTTTTTCCTTAGAAATGCATGATTCAAAAGCGATAGGACTTAGTTTAGCCCCGACGTCTCTCGGCCGGCTTAAATCCTTGTAGACTGGTGTTGCAGACTTGAGTTTGATAGTTTGGTATTTAGATAGAAGATGATCTCGCTCCAACGACAGTTATCCGTATTTTTTTCGATGTTACGGCTTCTCGAGTTACGTTAGTGACAATGAATTCCGCTAGGCGATTCAAAGTTGAGTTTCGATTCGGCGTCAAGGACTTATATTGATTAGCTAAGTCTGGATGGTGTTCCACGGATATTTATGATTATGGATAGATAAAGACTTTTTCAATAGTTATATCGACATCTTTGTCGGGTATCCGAATTTAAGGTCCGACCTCGACCATCCACATACTTATGTAGAGCATCCATTAGAGGTCCTGCCTCAAGTATGTAGAGCATCCGGTTAGAGGTCCGGCCTCAAGTATGTAGAGCATCCGGTTAGAGGTCCGACCTCAGTTACTTATATTTTGCAATTGGCTACTTATGTAATTTTAGTGAGCGTCCAGTTCAAGGCCCCACTTCCGTACCGTCATATTCTATTATTTCGTTCGGTGTTCTTTGGTCTTGAGTTCTATTTTCCTTAAGTTATAGTTATTTTGTGTACTCGTCGGGGTTATGGGGGTCTGTTCGGGTTTTTATTTAAACTTGCGCACAAGTGTACCTTCTGGGCTTATGGGGGGGGGGTCCAGTTAGGTGTAGTTAGCTTATTTATATTAATTTAGTTAGATCTTTATACACTCGTGTGCATTCCTGTGTTACTTAGCCTTCCGTTCTTGACCTCTAGTTATGTGATTCCGTCTTTTCATATTGCTTCACTTTTCTAGTTGGGTCGGCCTGTGATGCCTACTGAGTACCTGTTATTTGGTACTCATGCTACACTCAGCATCTATTTCGTGATGCAGGTCCGAGCACCACTAGCTAGCGTTGATCGAGTTTGGAGCATTTCTGGTCTGGAGACAGGGGTGAGCACACGACGTTTTGTACGATTTCAGTCTCCATCTGTTTATATAAAGACTTGTCTTTTACTTTTCGAGACAGTCTAGTTTCGCTAGTACTCTGTTGGGACTTGTACTCGTTTTGTTGGTAGCTCTGTATTAGTGACTTCCAGGTTCTGGGAGGGATCCTTAATTGTATTTAAGTTTTGGTTTGCTTATGTTGTTATAGTAATTTTGCTAAGTCTTGTTTAGTTTCTACCCTCACACCCATTTCATGTTGTTCTATGTTACGGTTTGGTTTACCTACTAGTGGGTTATAGTAGGTGCCTTCATGGCTCGAGAAATTGGGTCGTGACAAGTTGGTTGATTGTTTCAAAACACATGCTTCAAATTTTATGAGTGCTTTAATTGATGAAGATATAATACATAAACAGACACTTACATTCAATTTTTTGAGCATGCAAATTTAGACACATCAACACTATAACAAAAACGACTTTTAGCGGCAATAAATATTGACATTAATAAAGAGTGATAAAGTCGTTACCGGCATTAGTTAAGTCTCATTAGAATCAATGTCGCTAAAGACTTTTGGCACATATATAAAAAGTTTCAACTGCTAGTAAAAATACATATATAGAAGCAATTAAGAATTAATTGTCGCTAATGATTACTTTGGATGTAGTGCAACTTGTCACCATTGTGTGAGTGTTAGTTGAACACTCCAACTTACAACATGATTATCCATACACCTCCATAAAGATTAGTTACCAGTTGAGTTAAGATCAAGTGGAGGTTTCTAGTTGTGTACTACTTATATTACTTGCCGGCTGATACCAAGTTTGAATGTCTATTCTTGATTGTTTGGTTGCAGCATTATTGTCATGCGATCGAGAGAAACTTTATTGTAATCTTTTGGGATTTCATCAGTTGAGTGTCTTTTTTTCCCAAGAATCATATTTATTGGCTTCGACCAAGGAAAGGAAAGGAGATACTTAGTTCGGGAGCAGGAGATTAGTCAAATATGTTCGAGAGGTTCTGTATCGTTGGGATTATTTTGTTCTACTTTACTAATTAGGAGCATTTTGACAGTTGAAAGGTACTTTCGTCGTCAATGGAAAATAGTAAAGGAAAGGCTAATTTTCTTGGGTGCAGGTAATGACTTCAATTTTGATTTGCTTAATGAACCAAGTCAACTAGTATATTAGATTTTGTGCTTAATAATTATCTCAACATTGAGCTTGTTCCTAAGATTGAATTATACATATTATCTCGTCTGTTGGATTATATTACTAAATTATTTTCCATCAGTTGAAGAAGAAAAACACTAGTTTCAAAGACTCGGAAAAAAGCTCATTAGAAAAGCTTGGTTCATTATAAGTTCCTTCCAACCCTCTCCAAGTAAAAGTTTTCTCCCTATTTCTTCACTTCTCAATCCTGCAAATGTTCATTTGTTTCTGATCCAAAGTACGGTACTACTTTTCGTTGCAGGTGTACCATAGAAGACGTAACAAGTGTGAAAAAGTTGAGCCATTCATTGAAAGGCATAACAAGCCTGTCCAGACAAATGTTTTACTACGAATGTCGTTCCACTTGCATCTTTTCTGTTTCTAATCCAAACTATGCTACAAACTATACATTATAGGTGTACAATCGACGATTTAAAAATAATTAGATACATAACAACTGCAAAACAGCTTTACCATACTTTCAGGAATTGCAGAACATGAAGCGGCAAACACCAAAAGTTTCTACTACCGAAGGTAATGGTTATACAACTTACTTGGATTTTCAATATTGCATTTGACAAGAAATTATATTTTTCCTTTGATGTAACCTTTTAAATTTCTAAAGGATAGTCCAGGGAAGGCTGCCAGCCTTTGCGTTCACAAGAAACCAAGGCTTCAAGCATCTAGCAGTAAAAATGGACTCATAGTGAAACATAAAAGAATCCTGAAATCAATCACAAGAAGAAAGATGCACAAGTTTCAAACGATGAAACACCTAGTGACAAAGAAAATGATCTTGAGAACAAATGTAATCCTTGATGAGGAGGCAATACAAGAATGGAAATCTCTGATAGGAAAACCGGAACATGAAGGCTGCAAATCTGAAAAATGTGATGAAAGATGGGGAGTAGAGAGGACATTGTTCCACGGACGGGTGTTATTATTCATTTCTCGCATGCATCTTATCCAAGGTATTATATTATGCTTGTATTCATTAAACTCAGTATCGAAATGTGATCTAGATATTTTATTGTATGCAACTCGGAAAGTTATAAACGTATGCAGCATAAATAAATGAAAAATAATAGCATATACATAATTCCACCATTTCAAGGATACAGAAATATCATAGAATTTCGACAAACTAGCACGTGTGCACAAATAATTCATCCAGAGTCGAGAACATCATCAAAGAAAAACAATATCCCCAAAGAGGAAAACACTATAACTAACTAAGGACTGATCATCTTTTTGAAGTATCAAAATGCCATTTTATGGATCACTTGATATGAACACAATTTTACACGTCAAGCAGAGGTTTGATTGTGTTTCCTTGAAAATAAAAAAATGACAAGAACCAGAATAATGTAATTTGTATATGTTAAATTATGGTAACTAGCTAGTAACTACAATTGGAGTATTTCTTTATCAGAATGAGTAAGACAACAATGAGAACATATTTCATTTTCTTTCATTATATATCATGTGAAGAGAATATGTCTAGTCGGTGTCTTCAGGCAGATTATATATTGACAGGTAATAAATAGTTCTCACAGTGGAAAGGTTCAACTGTAGATTCTGTGGCTGGGGTTTTCCTGGCTCAAAATGTCACTGACAACGTATCAAGGTATTGAAGACTCTATGCAAAAAACTTTTCACAAGGGATTATTAATGCGTTCATTAAAAATCTGAATAGTGATCTCAAATTGTGCTTTTGCAGCTCTGTTTTCATGTCCCTTGCCGCTCAATATCCTTATAATGAAGTCAGTTTCAAATCAACATTCCACAATGGAATGGAAAAAAAAAGCTTGAGAAATCTAACAAAAGAAGCTCTAATATTAAGAACTAGGGGATAATCTGAAGAACAAATCTGAAAGGGGGGAAGAAGAAAAAGGAGACAAGAAATCAGCAACCTGAACCAATGTTAAGATGGAAAAGTCAAAATGCAGACATGGAAAGTGACGCCATTACAAGGGAAAATATGAGGAAGCTCTCTTCCTTTGTAAATCCCGAAGAAATTAATGATAGCACGTTAGATGCCATAAATTGGCATGCAGTCCACGATGCAACAACGGATCAAGTATCAAAAGCTATCAATCAAAGGGGAATGGACAAAAAGCTTGCAGAAAGAATTAAGGTTAACAATGTTTGGCTAAGAATTCCTTGGTAATTAATCAGCATTGTAATAAACTAACCGTGTGGTCAGTACTTGCAGAATTTTATCAAGTGCCTTCTCCTGGAACAAGAGAATGTGGATCTAGAATGGCTACGAGAACTTGAACCAGAATAGGCTAAGTAATATCTGCTCTTTCTTTTTGTATGAATTCAAAATAGTCGGATAGTTGGTGACATAAGTTAACTGAGATTTGAAAGTGTAGTTGATTGAGAAATCTGTTTCTACCAGGGAGTTATTGCTGAGCATTTATGGTGTGGGAGTGAAAAGTGTTGAATGCATAACATTGCTAACTCTCCAGCACCAAGCCTTCCCAATACGTTCATATTGCCACTTAAGGATAGTTCTTCGTTCTCTTTGAAATCACTGCAATGACCTTCTCTCGGAACATTCAGAAACTAAATCATGTTGATAGGAATATGTAGAAACAGTACAATTCCTAAGTAAACCTATTGAACATTAATGCAGTGCAAGACTTCCCCTGACGGGGCCTGGAGAAAACAGCTGTGCAAACGTCAATACGGCTTTAGTACCTGTAGATAGTGCATACTCATGTACTGAAAGCTCTCAAGAAAATCTTGTTTCTTCTTTCGGGGAAGCCTCCAAATCACAACATTCGACGGGAGATCACCAGAATAAGCTTATCACCTATCCAGCTCTTGGGTGTATTGGAGAAATAGACATTGAAGATTATTCTGCCAGTGGCATACCTACCATCACATTTGATTGTCAGGCATTCATGGAAAATTTGTTAAGTTACATAGACGAGTATGATCTCTCAACAAAAGACACTGATTTGTCTAATGCTTTGGTCGTTGCCACTCTAGAAGCACCTTTGCCTAAATTGAAGCATAACGGTCGGTTAAGGATGGAGCATCAAGTGTAAGTTTTGCAATAATTTTTATTTAACTTCACTGCTAAATTGGCATTACATGGAAAAGCTATGTGTGCACATTAAGAATCTTATTATTGAGATGACAAATGGATATAAGAAATATTTCTGCGAGAGAGAGTATTATATCTGACGAAGTTTCGTGTAATAAAGGGGATGCACATTCCAAAATATAATGAAGAAAATGGTGAAGTGTTGTAATAACTGCTCATTAACATTTGTTTTTCCTACGCGCTGCAGCTATGAACTTCCAGATTCACATCCTTTGTTAGAAGGGGTAAGTTGGGTTACCAACATGAAATAAATTATTTATTCGTCATGTCTTTTGATTTGGTTTAGTTGACTAAAGCTTATGAATGCAGCTACAGAAACGAGAACTGGAAGACACTTGCCCATATGCACTTGCTATAAGGACACCAGGTCATTGCTTCCCGAAAGTTATATACTTGAATGGACTAAATTTATCTAAAAAGAAACACAAACACGTTGTCTATGTAGGATATTCATAGTGAACTCACACTTTTGTACCGTACAGGAAATGTAGCTTCCGAATAAGAGAAGTATGAATCCTGCAATTGCGATGAAATTCAAAGCAAGGTTGATGCGTCGAATATAGGCATAGGAAGCAATATTAAGACTGTTAGTGGGATTCTTCTGGTGAGAAAACAAAAATTAGGACTTCATGATTACTCCTGAATTGGGATTTCTCATGGTTGTAAGAAATCTCACATTCTAATTTATTTTAATAGTTATTTTTTATATAAAAACTAACTCGTAAGAGCATCTTCAGATCCCGTGTCGAATAACAAATAAGGGGAAATTTCCACTCAACGGAACATACTTCCAAGTAAATGAGGTGAATTTTATACTCAGTGATGCAACCATAGTGGTCTTCAATTAATTAGTTTAATAAATACTAACAAAGTGATTTACGAAGGTTTTTGCAGATGAAGAATCTACTCAAAAGCCGATTGAAGTTCCAAGGGCATCGATATGGAATTTTCCAAGAAAGACCCTATACGGTGGCACCTCCATCAGAGGAATATTTAGGGGTAATTAAAGAGTTTTTAGTTAAATATAATAGCCGCAAATGCCATAATTAATTGAATTATTATATTACAAAGTAAAATGCGCCACCTTAGGTTAAGGGTGGTCAAGTGCATACCCTACTAAAATAAATTATGTGTTGTTATATATAGAGGTGACATGTTATAATATTTATAATAAAGACATAGAATTATCATCAAAGTTATTTTGAATTTTTAGAAAGATATTTTAACATTGCAGGTGTCCTATTACCCCTTTAAACAACTTAAAAATAGAATGTATACCTCATTTTTCACTCAATACCACTTGTACAAAAATATTTGTATGTTACGTACTAATAGTCACTTGCCACGTATTAAAAATAATTTTAAATTATTTTTATCTAATTTCTTTGTATTTCGTTGTTTTCCTTTTTTCTCTTTCTTCTTCACCTCAACTACGTTCTTTCTTTTTCTCTTTCTTCTTCACCTCAACTTTGTTGTTTTCCATTCTCTTTGTGCTGCAAGAATCTTCAAATCCATTGTGGCTGAATAAATTTCGCAGCAACACTATCAATTTTTAATCAAATTACTATCAATTAATTTATTTATGACGATAAATATCGTCAAATAATTAAAATCTAAATACTCAAATATTAGCAAGTTAAAATCTGACATTTAAATTGCCACCTTCTCCAACTCTTACTTCCAAATTGAATTTTTCTTAGTTTAACTACTCCCAGATCCCAATCTTGATTTGTAAGAAAAAAAAATCACTAAAATAATTTTCTTTTTTAAAAAATAAAATCAATAACATTAGTTTTTTTTTAAAAAAAATTCCAGAAAGGAAAAAGAGAAAAAGAAATGAAAGAATACATGGATGCTCAAGAAATATGGATAAGCTTATGATGGTAGGGAAGAAGAGAATTTTTTTTGAAAAATTAAAAACAATTCTTAATAAAGTTAAAAATAATAATTAATACATGGGTTTTTATATTTATTTTCAATACAGCAAATTGGAAGTGCCAAATGACAAATTTACATTTGTATGAAGCTGTATTAGTCAAAATGATATATTTATTGTAGATTTAGATAGTTTCATGGAGTAATAAGACACTCGCAAAGTTAAATTTGTCTGTTTGAAAATTCGAAACAACTTCAATGTTGATTTTATATCTTTTCTTTAATATTTAATTTGTGTTTTGTGTGAATTCAGGGATGTCAACAAAAGAAGTACAAAATTGCTTTTGGAGAGGTATGAACTGATTTCATTCAACATTCTTTCCACAACTAATGCTTCTTACTGAAAACAGAAAATGTACTAACCACATGAATTTTCGTAAGGGATGTCATAATTTTAGAAAATAAGATATAGTTTTTACACATAATTAAAACACATTGATGCATTACAAATAAAACCGAATTCACTTTTGTTAAGTATTGCAGGATATGTATGTCCGAGAGGGTTTAACCACGAAACATGAATGGCTGGATTTCTTCCCCTTGACCTTCATCGTCCAATAAGCAAACCAGGAAAAGGAAAAAGGTCTTGAAGAGAATGTACATTTTATGCTTGGATTAAACACTCTTATCTGTGTCATTTTTTGTCTTTGTTTTTGTAAATTACACCACCTGGATGTCCAATTACTGCTTCAATATTTACTAAAAATATTATGTTTTCTGTAATCTGTAACATTCCATGTTAGTTTAGTAAAAGACTAAAGCCAACTATCACTCTGTCCAATGTTTTCAAAGTCCAAGTTGAGCCAAGCACTCAACAATGCCTACCTCACCATTCAGTGGCGTAACCACATATAAATAGACCAGGGTGGCTTTAAATATGGATATCATGTGGTTGAATTATATATAGCATTTTATCTAATATCTTCTAAATACTATTTATTTCGTTTTAGTTGATATAATAAAGTCTTTATTTAAATAGACGATT